TGTGAAGCGATTGAAAAAGCTGATTCCGATGGTACAGATGTAGCTGGTGTACATAAAAAACGCTTTGCCAAATTTTTTAGTTGAGGCATTTGATTACCAAATATCCTCCTAAAACATTCTTATTCGGTTAGTCAAGTTTAATAATGTATTTTGATGCATACCAAAATTCAGATGCATCAGGATTTAAATTATTATCAACGATTTTCTTTACTTCTTTGGTTGCTAATGATTTATACAAGAATAACTCATCAGCAATTGAATTATTATTATTTGAATTCGGGTGAACTTGACGTTTGACTGATGCATCTGTTGATACAGAACTAAGAAATGAAGACAATATTGATTTGCTTTTTGATGAATTATTTTGAGATGGTGAAGATGATGTTTGTGTTAAATTAGGTTGATTATCATGATTGATGTTAACATTATTTAAATCGTCATTATAATCTTTCACCAATTTTTTTATATCTCTTTCAACGCTTGTGCGTTCTTTTTGGTTTAGCATTGAAAAACCTAATGGATCAAAGTAGGCTAAAAACTAATATAAACAAAATTTTTAAGAAATTAATGAAATTAAACAAACATACAATTATTGTTTCAAGTTGTTCTGTATCATCATCAATATATTTGACCATTTGTTCAAGTAAATCATTTTTTATTTGAGTAGCAAACAAATTATTATCAACATAATTTTCCAAAAAGCTTTTTATTTTTCGAATAGCAAATAAAGCTGTTCCGATGGTGGCATATTTCTGACCACTCATTAATGTTGTGGCTTCATAGAATGGTTTAAGAACATTGTCAATAGATGCAATCATGCGCCACTCATCACTGGTTAATTCAAGATTTGTAAGCTTTTGTTTTCTTTTACTTGTTATTGGTAAATCATGTTTGTCTGAATGTAATTGAATAATTAACTGCTTAAATTTTAGCATATTTCCAATCATAAATTTTGTCGAATTCCATCGACTTATACAATCAATTGAAAGACTGTTTGGAATCTTATGTATCACTTTTAATTTGTCTATGTACGATGTTAAATTTGATGACTTGTTGATCATTTTTATAATAGAACGACATTTATTCATAATATTACTAATGGATCGTTGTAAATCATTAGAAAAATCAGAATCAGTAATGACATCATTTTCCCATAAATCAATAGATAAATAGCAATAATCTTCTGTTTCCTCAGAAGACTCTGGATTTTCTAACAATAGAAAACAGGGCATTTAGTCAAGAAATAAAACATGAATAAATTTACCATCATCATGATCTTGTATTATCACATTTTCATCATTATTCAATTCATTCAAGGATAAACTTCTTAATTCTTCGTCGAGTACATATTCATCATCACTCCCTAGTAAAATAAGAAAGTATCGGTCGATGAGGATTCTATAGAAAACAAGGGAAGTCAAAGCAAGATGTACATAGTGCGTCTTTTTGTGTTGAAGGTAAAATCAATTTAACTTAATTTAGTCGAATTCACTTTTGATTATTCTCAAATTGTATTATTTCTCATCTTTTAACTATACATGTTTTTCCTGGTTGTTTGAATATAAACTTGACGAATCTAGAAGATTGACTATCTCGTCTGAATTGTTTACTTTAATGAAAAAGCGTTAAAAGTCTTTATTTTTCTCTTTTGTGGAATTCGCACTATGATTTTGGAAAAAGAGTATATTCGAAGAAAGTATGAAGTCGAGGTTTCGCAGATATCCACTTTCATGACACATCTTGACAACATAGTCTCGGTCCCTTAAAAATCGACACCAATTTCTTTTTGACTGAGATCTGAATCAATGTTTTTTTTACCGAGATCAAAATGATTCATTCCGCATATCATCAAGAACAGGCTAATCTTCTACTTAAGTCAATGGTTAGAATAATACTGATGGTAAGTTAAGAAAAACAAGATATGAATATGACATAAAGCAAACAGATAGAAGCAAGAAAAAAAGTAAAACTAAGGAAACATTTCTATTTAAAATACAGAAGTGAATAAGAGAGATCTTTTTCTTCTTGACAGATTATCTTTCGGAAACAAATCTATTTTGTAAAGAACACTTTACTTGATATATTTTGTAGTAGTATAGTGATGTTACACAATATACGGAAATTTTACATTAAAACTGGGAAAGGGTTGTACTAATGAGTTTTCTTAAAAAATGTCTAAAGTGAATATTTTTTTTCTTACCAGTTGATTGTGTATCATCATTTTTTTTTCGATTTTTTATCCACAAACCTAATGCATTACAAATAATTAAGTGTAGCTTATGTGCTAAACATTGTAAACGTTTTATTCTTGAATCGATTTTTCTGAAAGACGCTTTCATATTACTTGCGCCGTCGCATGTAATTGTTGTTGTTTTCTCAAGAATATTCAATCTCTTTAAATGTTGTTCTAATTCAGAAGATATATTATCAGATGTGTGACGATCATGAAAAGGAGCAAAAACCAAAATCTTCGACTTCACGTTCATATTATTATCATACCAATGTCCTGTCATACATAAATAAGATCTTGATGAACGGTCGCACCAAAAGTCCGTGGTAATGGCTATAAAATTTGCATCATTCAATTGTTTTGTCAGTTTTTCAACATGAACTTGATTTAAACGTTTGAGATTTCTTTTAATAGTATTACGATGTGGTGGACGAAATCCTGAAAAAAAATATTCGAAACATTATGAGAAGAGTCATTAAAACATACTAGGTATGGTCCTTTATCTTTACCATCCTTTCGAAATAAAGGACAAAGATCAATGAACCATTTATCCTTGGCAAATAAGCATAAAGTCAAGGAATCAATATTTCTTTTTTTACATTTTGATTGAAAATCAGCTAGTTAAGCGATGATATGAACTAGTGCTGATTTTCTTGATAATCAGCAGGTTTTAATTTAAAAAATGACAATTCGATCAAAAGCGAATTCGTATTCTGAATTAGCATAAAAACGATGTTAATGTATAAATATTTTCAATATTTTTGAAACTTTTTTTTTTGCCAAAAAACATACCTGAACATCCTATGAGAGTTCTTGAGGCAAGAAAACAAATTCCAGCAAGACGCCGTTATTATTGTTTAAACATGCTACAGTTTATGTTCTACTATCCTTTTGATATTTTTAAAGCTTGTGTCGCATTGTCACAATAACTTCTTGGTCAAATTCAGTATTTAGGTTCAATAATCCTGAGGGAGAGTACAGGTGCATTTTTTTGATAAAAAAATGTTTCAAAAATATTGGAAATATATATAAATCAACCTCGTTTTATGCTGATTCAGAATATAAATTCACTTTTTGATCGAATCGTCATTTTTTTAATTAAAATATGTTGAGTATGAAGAAAAAAAACGCTAGTTCATGTCATCGCCTAACTAGCTGATTTTCAATCAAAATAATATTTTCTCATGATAAAATTCGTAATGAATATATGTTCTATGGTTTCAGACCATTCCCAGCCACAGTATCCTTCAAAGAAAATAACCATTTATTCCTTGACTTTATGTTTATATGTCAAGGATAAATTATTCATTTATCTTTATTTTTTTGAAGAAAAAAAATTATTTATCTTTATTTTTAAAAGTAACAGTAAAGTACCACTCGTAAAACATACCTGATAATAAACCATTGAACAATTTCACGATTCCCGGCTTGTTCAAATCATTAAAGGAACGTCCATCTTCAATTATCGCATTTAAAGCAAGTTCGTTAAGTTTACGTTTTTCATCAGGTGACAAACTATTCATCATAGTATACCTTTTTGCTGATTTAATTGTTTTTTCTTCAAACTCTTTTAATTCATGTACTAGCCGAAGATGTCTTCGTACACTTGATGTTGATTGTCCTTTGCGTGACAGTACTAAACAGAATTTGGAAATTTTAGAACAAAGATATCATGCTTCTGGCTTATTATTAACGAAATATACTTTTTTTCTTATTTTTCTGAGTTTTACACGAGTTCCTAAGACGTTTAAAAGAGATCCAATGTTACTACGCAACTTTGGGATGCTTTACTTGACATTTCCGATATTTTATCATTGAACAGTGAGGAAAGAAGATTAAATATAGAAACAAACATCCGTCGAACGCGTAGAGTACTATAATTTTATTAGCAACTTTTCACTTATAGGATATAATCAATGCGATCATGCTATAATTATGGTAACCGTGTTTACTTGTGAATATTTCTATAAAGCTTGATTATGGTTCCGAGGAAAATAAGAATTGTAACTGTAATTTAAAGTTTATGCAGTTCTCCCGAGTCATTATTAACCAGGAATAAAAGTGATGTTCTGCTTCAGCCCCTGGCGATTTCAAACTGCAGAAAGTAGAATCGAATACTTAAATGACAATAATAACATGACTTAGAAGGTTTTAGCATATTCTAGAGTTATTAAAATCTGAAAGGCTCGAATACATTCCCCTACAATTTAATAATGAAGTTTCTGATTTTTGCCCAAATAATTGATAATATTAGGAATACAAAAATTGTGTCACGAACTTCTACAACTACCATATGAGTCACTGAAGGGCATTGACTAACCACGTTTTAAATTTCAATAATAATCAATTGAAGTCTTTTTGAGATCATCAATATGGATATTGAGCTGCTAAATTTTGCTATAGATATAACGAGTGTGTACAATCAATCTCTTTGATATGAAGTCAACGGGTAGATTAACAAGTTTTAGTTATGAAAAAGTATAATATAAATAAATAAATAAATAATAAGCCACTAGCAACAAAAAAAATGGAAAAAAGGGCCTCACTTAAAACAAGTTCTGTTGGAAGTGTAGAAATAGAAAGAATAGCGCTGGCAGGCAAATGATTATCTTTAGAAAACAACTACGACCCTTTGAAGGTTTCATACTTTGTGCACTTAGTATTAGTATAATAAAGCTGGAGAATATATGTGACATCTTTATATCATTCTCAAAAGAGTTGCGCGAATAAATTTTCTCGAAAAAAATGTTTCCATCGCTTAAGTGTGTCTGATACAAAGTTCGCCTTCAATAAATCGCTATGACTAAAGCAATGAAGTTGTTGTTTTTAAGCAGTACGAATTTTATTAACAGTTCAAACAGTGCGTTCTCTTTTCTCTACTATTCCAGAAAGAATTTGAACAATCTTGACACTATTCTTCAAAAGACATATTCCAATGAAAATTTTTCGATTAACGCTTGTATTATTGCGCAAAAAGATCAAGATTTTGCTTAATTCTGTGAGTTTCCATTAAAAAAAGATAAACTCAGTTAAAATCTTGACTTTGTTGCATAATAACATGATCGGGAATAAAAAATTTTCAATGGGATATTGAGAAGTTAGTCCTACTAGCTCTTAGTTTGTTACATATGTACTTCAAACGATTTTGTCTCTTCAAAATCTTCAAGTTACTATCCGTGCAAGAAATACTATTACAAAATGTAATGCAACTATTTTGACTCAATGATTGAAAGCTTTTAAAAAATTAAAAGAATTTTTTCAGATTTAAGCTTCAGTTTTGAAAATTCAAAATCCTTATTTTGTACTTATACAATAGGGCACTTAGTTCGAAACGTATACTTAAACAGTCTGTTTAAAATACACACCTGCTAGGCATATGTTACACCTTGCTTTTTCAGGACTAATTTTCGTTGCATACTTCCAAACACCTGATCCTTGAATTTCTTCTTGTATTGCACCACCACCATCGATACTCACGTCTGCATCATCACCATCTGTATTTGTATTTGATATCGAACTTGATGCTATAACGTCATCATCATCAATCACCAACGATTCACTTGAACCCTGAGCACTTTTTTTATCCTTTTTCACCGCAGCCTTCACCATTTCACAGGACAAAAAAACAAAAACTGTCAGCCAAATATGAATAACACAATATAATCGTATTACTAATGAATAAAATATACGCTGTTCTACTTAACTATTTTTGGGTATTTCTCTTGGAAATTTCCCTCTCAGATATGACTAGTTCATGGTATTAGCTAATAGAAATGAAGAGGCGCTACTTGTCGCTTTTATCTATATATTCTAAAGGCTTTTTGAACTTCATAAAATACAGGTAATTCATTTATCACTGAATCAAGATCAATTCCATTTGAATTGGAATAGATTTTGTTTTACAGAATTTGTGACCTGTTAATTTTATTGCAAGCAAATCGCGCATGGCTCTTAAGTATCTGATAACAAAGTCAACACATAGTCAGTTGAGCCTTGGCACATCGATCTCTTATCATTTG